GCAGAACATCGTCTTACTTCAAATTGTTTTTGGCATCATGGTGAACTCATCAGGGCGCGGAAGAGATAAGCCAGTTCTCAATGGGCGGGGGGCTCTGCCTAGTCCCCACATCGGGGAGTCACTCTCTCCAGGGGTCTGGGAAGCTGAGTGTGGGGTCTGAGTCTGGGTGGAGGAAGGAGGGCGATTCCTCAGCCCTACCCACAAACACCACGGCCGGTGCTCTGGCTCACTGATATCTGATGCCCCAGAGCGCGCGGCTAACTTGGACAAATGCCCAGATGGCCTTCCCGTCTCCACATGCAGATGCAAAACACTGCAGAGCCCAGAAGTGATGCTCACAACAAGGCAGGAAACTTATTTTTCAGTGATGCACTCAGACGGGCATCAACGGCCCAGCTACAGAAACACAGAAGTCTACTTCATTTCCCACAAAACTCTGGAAAGACAAATCTCACTTCTTCACGCTCAGGCTCCACAGAGATCTTCTGCGTAAGCAGAAGCCGGTTTCTATTTAAGGAACTCAACGAACCATCCCTCAACACTGTAGGAAGGAATAATATTCCTGGAAGAAGTAACGAGTAAACGAGGAAACCTGAAGCAGAGTGGCTTACGAGTAACACAGAACTCACGGGAAGGAAGAAGTCCAGAGCCACGGAGCGAAGGCTCTCTGGTACGTAACTTCAAGTTGTGACAAATCCTGGTGAAGTCCGGCGTGAGCTCGGACAGGCCAAGGCTGGGCACCTGCGCTCTCCGAGACACTGTCTCTTAGTCTTGCTGTGGTTTCATCACCTCCATCTTCAAATGTCGCTGGGAGGCTCCTCGGAGCGACTCTCTCCTTCTGGCAGCCATACTTAGGAAGCATGTCTACTGGGCTTCCAGTGAGGGACCTACATGCCGCTATTTTATTAGCTTATCTCCTTATGATTTAATTGATCAGTGGCCCTTCCACATTGGGAAACCAGTGTTTCCTGATTCACCATTAACGCAAGCCAAGCCATTAATGTGGATGTTGGTAGGAGCCAAGTTCTGTGCGAAGCCAACTTGTATGACTGAATTCCCCCAGCAGGTAGGCGAAATTATACTCCCCATTCTACACATGAAGAGACAAGGCTCAGAAAAGTTAAGGGACAGCCAAGGCGTGAACCCACAGCTGTCTGTCACCACAGCCTATTCCTACCACTTAGAGAACACAAACGTGGTGTCTGACTCTAAACCCTCAAAGGCAGCTCCCACTGGTCACAAGCAGGCTGTGATTACCTGTAGGGCAGCCCCGACCTGAAAGGCCACGCAGTGTAGGGGGCGGGCTGTAACTGGACTCTAACGTTTCACGGTCACCTCCTGATCCTCAATCCTCACACGATGGAAATCCCCAACCAGACAGCCAGCGGGGGGTCTCGTTCCATGCCAGGTACAAATAAGCCTGGAAGGAACGCTTTGCAAAGATGACTTCCTTCTACCTAACAGCCCAAATCCTTTGCTTCCTCTTTTCTTTCCACAACACTTGTCACTGCCGATAAGGAGAATCTAAAAGTACTATAACCTTACATTGGACTATTTTTTTAAAATGTATTTTTGTGTTTTTTTTTTTCCCTGAGAGGGAGAGGCAGCGTGATCAGGAGAGGGTCAGAGAGAGGGAGACACAGAATCTGAAGCAGGCTCCAGGCTCCGAGATGTCAGCACAGAGCCCGACACGGGGCTCGAACCAATGAACTGTGAGATCATGACCTGAGCCAAAGTCAGACGCTTAACTGACTGAGCCACCCAGGCGCCCCTACATTGGACTATTTATTTGCTCTTAATAAAATTAGAAAACAAAAATCTCAATCTGTTATTAAAGTTACACTTTCAATGTTTTTCACCGTGAAGGTTTTCTAAAGGTGCAGTAAGGGTGGACGTGCCCCTGTCCCGGGGAAGGTGCCAACCCGTGCCCCAGGGCCCTCGGCACCTCATTAGCTGCCACCACTGCTAGTCTGCAGACCTCCACTGACCCTTTGCAACAAGGTCCAGCAATGGCCTGTGTTTTAGAATAAAACAGAGGAGGGAAATGCCCACTGTCGGGCAGAAGCACGGGGGTGTGTGAGCAGGGAGGGAAGTGGCAGTCACGTGCTGGCTGCTGGCATGGAAAAGGCAAAGGTAAAGGCTTTATTTCGCTGTGGAACAAGAAGTACACCAGGCATAGGGGGGCCAAATTCCGGAGACCAAATAAATTTCAAAGACAAAGAGTTTGAGGAGCCCTGAAAATCTCTTCCCATATTTTTGGCTACAAAGATGACAGATTCAGGTGCCTGGGTGGCTCAGTCAGTTAAGTGTCCGACTTCGGCTCAGGTCATGAACTCACAGTTCATGAGCTCGAGCCCCGCGTCGGGCTCTGGGCTGACAGCTCGGAGCCTGCAGCCTGCTTCAGATTCTTTGTGTCCCTCTCTCTCGGCCCCTACCCGCTTACAGTCTGCCCCTCTCTCTCTCAAAAATAAACATTTAAAAAATATTTTTTTAAATATGAATCAATAAAGAGAAAGTCCACAGTGTCTTAGATCCATGGTGGTGCAGTTACAAATACCAAGGCCTCAGGAAACAGAATTAGTGTGCAATGTGAACTTTTAAGAGAACCTTCTTGAATGTCTAAAAACAGGAAAGTTACCCAATTTCTAGAATCTCTAGAGAGTAAAGCCACTTAATCGTTCTCAAAGTCAAGATGAGATTTATCCCAAAGAAGAGTCAAGGTGATTTATGTCCATAATAAAAAAAATACTTTGAAAGATGTCTTTGTTTTACAAGAATACAGATATAACTAGCAAAGTCTCTGTGACAGCTGTGAAAACAGTCAATTGCCAGTGAAGGTATTTTTCTCTTTTTCACCACAGCTGGTCAGTTCAGAGCAGGGTTTGTTTTCCTCTTTCACTAAGCTTCCAGATCAAAAATTCTAGGCTCTGGACTGCACAACACAACCTTTGAATTTTCTCGAACAGGCTGCCACCATGTGGTGACCAGTAAAAAGGCATGTAAGTGTGACCTCAATTGCAAGATGTTTCTGAGGTCTTAAAATGGATTCGATCCACCTGCCACTCAAATATACAGTGGAGACCCTGTCTTCCCTGGGCAGGACTGCAACTTCATCCTTCCGGTTCTCCTGCAGCAACACGAGGAGCATGTATTTTTGATGTTGTTCTGCAGTACTTTATTGTACCTAATACGCTTTTTAAAAAAAATGTTTATTTTTGAGAGAGAGAGTAAGGTAGGGGCGGAGAGAGAGGGAGAGAGATAATCCCAAGCAGGCTCTGGGCTGTCAGCACAGAGCCCGACGTGGGGCTCGAAGTCACAAACTGTGAGATCATGTGACGTGAGCTGAAGCCCAGAGTTGGATGCTTGACCGACTAAGCCACCCAGGTGCCCCTATACTTAATACGCTTTTAATTTAACTTCACTTTGCATGAAACTTGTTAAATTCATGGTCATATTTTGAAATTAAAAACTTTATTAACTATTTCAGTCATGAAAATGTAAAAGAATGATATAAGGTGGGGCGCCTGGGTGGCTCAGTTGGTTCAGAGTCTCCAAGTCTTGATTTCAAGCTCAGGTCATGATCTCTTGGTTGGTGAGATGGAGCCCCACATGAAGCTCTATGCTGACAGCATGGAGCCTGCTTGGAATTCTCTCTCCCCCTCCCTTTGTACCTTCCCTGTTCACGTATGTGTGCACTCTCTCAAAATAAATATTTTTTTTTTTAATTAATTTTGTAGCTGTGGGTGTGATGTGTAGAAATGCATTTGTTTTTGCATGTTGATCTTACACCCAAAAACCCAAGTGAACTCTTATTCATTCTCATTTTCTAATAGATTCTTCTGGACTTTTTATGTAGGTGATCCTATCATCTAGGATTGAGGACAGCCTGGTGTCTTCCTTGACAATCATCATAAATTCTTCTTTTCTTCGTGTTGTGACACTGGCTAGTAACTCCCATACGGTGCCGAGTAGGAGTGCTGGTAACAGGCACCCTTTTATCTTTCCTAATTCCCAAAGAAATCGTTCTAATATCGCTATTAAATCTCGGTGCTCGAACTTTTCAGGTATTTTATTGGGTTAAGGTATTCCCTTAATTTCCTACATTAAATGGTTTTTCAGGGAAAAAAATCATAAAGGACACTAGATTTTTATCAAATGACTTCTCTGGGTCTACTATGGTGACTGTATAGGTTTTAATCTGACAATATGGTGAATTATGTTAATGGCTTTTAATGGATTTTTTGAGATTAATTAAGCCAGGCTTGCGATCCCATGAGAACCCCAACCTGGTGTTGGATTCGGTTTGCTAACATTTTGATGATTATTTTATCTGTGTTCACAGATGCGATTGGTCTGTAGTTGTCCTTTAGCATTCTGTCCTTGTTCAGGCACTCATAAAATGCATTAGGAAGTGTTCTTTTTTTATTCTATGGGAAAGATTATGATCTGCTCTTTGATGACAGAAGAACTCATTTATAATACCACCTGTTGCCTGCTTTGTTTGCATGTTCGGTGGGTAGATGGATTCAATGTCTTTAACACATATAAATCTAATGGATTTTACTTAAATCCATTTTGTAAGCTACATGTTTTTAGAAGTTTTCATTTCATACACATTTTCAAATTTACCAGCATAAAATTGCACATAGTTTCCTTTTTAGAAAATAATTTTTCTTCTGTGGTTATGTCCCTTCGTTTCCTAACACTGGTGGTGTTCTCTTTTCGTCTCGATTATTTTGGGTAGTGGTGTTTCCATTTTACTAGACTCCTCCAAGGGCTGACTTTTGGCTCAGCTGATAACCCCTCACGTACACTGGTTTTCTATTTCATTAGCTTCTCCTCTTTATTGTTTTCATTCTTTAAAACTGCTTTGTTCTTTAGCTTTTTCTGCTGTTGTTCTTTAGCTTCTTATGCTAAATGCTTATGCAACACATTTCCAGTCTCTTCCCTTTCCTAGTGTAAGCATTTAAAATTACGTTTCCCACACGAAAGATGCTTACCTTGCTTTGAAGCTGAGGTGTTTTCCACTGGGAGCTCATTGTCATGGACCCTCTTCTCTGGAATAGGCATTGCAGGGCGGCTTCCAAAGACCCATGGGCTCCTACTACCAAGACCTTTTTTCCGTCCAAGTTGACACCTACCCACCAAATGGAAATCCAGTATTATAATCAAACCTTCAGCGTCCTGCTCCCGGGCAGCCTTAGTGTAAGGAAAAAGAACTTTTTAAACTCGGCCATCACAGTCAAGTTACAGCTAACAAGGACCAGCCATTATTGACTCTTTCTTTGTGAGTTTTACAGTAGAGTGACTGAGAATCGTCATCCTGATTAAGTCACAGGATGGAAAAACAGGGTCTGCATGGGTGACCTCAGCTTAACGGCTACTTGTCTTAAAGGTATGTATTAAGAGTTAATCTTCTAATAGAACTTTTGGTGTATACTTCGGAGGGTTGTTTTTTTTTATTTGAAGTATAGTTGACACACAATGCTCTATTAGTTTCAGGTGTACAACACAGTGGTGTGACTGTATGTCATTCTACGCTCACCATTAAGTGTAGCAGCCATCTGTCACCATACAACGCTATTTCAGTACCACTGACTGTATTCCCAGTACGTACCTTTTATTCCTGTGACTTACTCATTCCGTAACTAGAAGCCTGTTCCTCCCACTCCCCTTCCCCCATCTTGCCCCCTCCCTATGGCAACCACCAGTTTGTTCTGTGTCTAAGGGTCTGACTCTACTTTTTTTGTTTGTTTTGTTTTTCAGACACCAAAAATAAGGAGTCATATGGTATTTGGCTTTCTCTGAGTTACTTCATTTAGCATAATACCCTCTAGGTCCATCCATGTTATCACAAATGGCAAAATCTCATTCTTGTTTATGACTGATATTCCATTGTACATGCATACCAGATCTCTATCCATTCATCTATCAGTAGATTACTTAGATTGCTTCCATATCATATCTGTTATAAGTAATGCTGCAATAAATATAGGGTGCATATATCTTTTTAAATTACTGTCTTCACTTTCTTTGGGTAAATACCCATGTAGTAGAATTACTGGGTCATCTAGTATTTCTATTAACTTTTTGAGGAACCTCCATATTGTTTCCCACAGCGGCTGCACCACTTTGCATTCCCAGCAAGAGTGCACGAGGCTTCCTTTCCCTCCACATCCTCGCCAATACCTGTCGTTTCTTTTGGTTTTGATTCTAGCCATTTTGACTGGTGTGAGGTGATATCTCACTATGGTTTTTATTTGCATTTCCCTGATGATCCGTGACATTGAGTGCTTTTTCATGTGTCTGTTGGCCATCTGTATGTCTTCTTTGGAACAATGTCTACTCAGACATTTTTAATGTTTTAATCAATTATTGCTATTAGTGGGTACTGAGTTGTAGAAGTTCTTTTGGGATATTAACTATTTCAGAATTTTTTTTTTGATTGCTGCAGGTTTCAACATGGAAAGGGGGCATCTCCCTCATTTTTACTCAAGCTGGAATCAAGAAAAATTTAGTTATGGGGCGCCTGGGTGGCTCAGTCGGTTAAGTGTCTAACTTCGGCTCAGGTCATGATCTCACGGTTCGTGGGTTCGAGCCCCATGTCAGGCTCTGTGCTGACAGCTAGCTCAGAGCCTGGAGCCTGCTTCAGATTCTGTATCTCCCTCTCTCTCTGACCCTCCCCTGCTCATGCTGCCTCTCTCTCTCTCCCAGAAATAAATAAAACATTAAAAAAATTTTAATAAAAAAAAAGAAAAATTTAGTTATATTTTTATATATTTACCTAGAAGGTCCTCAAGTATATGAAACTCACAGTAATCATTTACTCATTAAATCTGATAACCAAGAAAAAGAAATTATTCATTTCTACATCACTGACATAAAAGAGCAAGGTCAAGGGGAGAATGATGGAAACTGAAGACTGATTACTGAAAGCAACACTGCTCACGGGTGAATCCCAACCAGGGTTTCCATACCCTGAACTCTATCTGACAGCTTCCTCATTTAAACACTAAACACAAGTCTTATTTAAGTCTACATACAGACACACTTGAGGAGTTGACACTTGGAACAGATTTCACTGTCGTTATTTTGACTTTCACCAGAGAAGCTGAACACTTGTTTACAACAGGCCGCCCATCTTCACCAGTTTCTCTTTAAAACTGTAATACAGTTAATCTTGTTAGAAAAATTTGCCCTACTCCTTTATAGCTCCCAAAAGATGAGAAAAAGAGCTGACTCTGAACATCACTTCCATGTTTCAACTAAAATCTTCTAGAAACAAATGCTTATTAAAAAGTCAAGTCCATACCAATCCATAGGAAATAGCAGCATTTCTGAAGGAGCAATCATACCTGACTTTTCAAGAAGTTCAACTACAGCTCTGGCCACAGGTGAGACGTAACACTCATGGGCGTCCCCTCGGACCAGCCTCCCCAGGTTCACGTCTGTTACTCTGAATTTGAAAATAAGGAAAGTTGGAAGTCAAAGCTTAGTCGAAACTTACTGATGTGTAACCCACATGTATGAATCCCAACTAACTTCTGAGTCAACGTTTCAGACAGGACATATTAAATCATTAACTCTAAAGAGTGGGCAGGAACAAAGGCCACTAGTTTCTTAGCGCAGTCCCTCAGGAAACTCTGAAGTGGTCCCTGTGGGTTGGGGACGGCCTTGGGAATTCTGGTTCTGCCTGGATCGCAGGACCACAGCCTCAGGCCTCATGGTGCACAACTCCAGGGGGCTCTGTTCAAGGCACAGCAGGGAATCTGCCCTAAAGTGTGCAAACCATGGTCATACGGTGGAGCTCACTTGTCCCTTAAGGAAATGTATATCTGGATCAGTATTACAATCCAGGACGAATCCTAGAACTCTGGGGAACGTAGCAAGGCTTGGATTCACAAGTCTGATCCCCATTTAGCATCAACAGTTACCTCCTTGGGAAATCAAGGAAAACAGTGAGGGACCAGGGACTTGCAATGGCCTTTGTGCTCTTCCTCAACCAAATCCAGGACTGACTGGTCCAGAACTACCTAGCTGAAACTGATGGTCTCAATACAGGTTAATAACAAAATGGACACACAGAAACCTTCCACAATTCTCTTCTTTTTCATGAAAGATTTGAAATCACACTTTGATATCTGCAGGTTCTAGATGTATTCTAATTGAGAAGGCATTCTCCTTTCTAGTTAGTCTAGCACTAGGGCCAGAGATTTTCAGGACAACTGTGCAACCCATGTTTGGGTCTCTCCTTGGTCTGGGTGCCCACAGAGGCTACAGTAACAGAAAAAGCGAGGCGGCGGCCTCTCAATCGAGCTCGCTCCCATAAGACCTGATGGACTGGGAATCTAACTTCTAATTTGCTTACAACCTCGTAACACTTTGGCTGCGGTACAAAACACTTCCTAGTTCCACATAGGAAAATGGGGTTTGTGCTTCCCCAGAAGTGTCTGGATGGCCCACGTGAACGGGCGGTACTCCCTGTCCCCTGAAGCTGCCGTCTGCACCAGGACATGAGTCAAAGACAAATATTAGGGCGCTGCCCATTTGTAGTTTTCCACTCGCATTTCAAATAAGACCTTGTGTTGTGCATAAAAGTGCTTGTGTTGCTTTTCTCAATCAGCTGGTGAATTAGCTGGTGACTCAGGGCACTGGGCTGTTTCTTTGGTCTGGCAGAATTGTCAAGGAGAAGTTCATCAGAAGACAAGGCTGGCCAAGGACTGTAAGTCAGGCAGGAAGTCACCAAATAAACATGATGGTGTTAAGGACACTATTTCAGAGTGGCACCCAAGCACGACAAAAGGCAAGTGCAATTTCTAGAATCTGTAACTTTGGGTTTTTTTGTTGTTGTTGTTTATTTATTTCTGAGAGAGAGAAAGACACAGTGTGAGCAGGGGAGGAGAGAGAAAGGCGGGGGAGAGAGACAGAATTTGAAGCAGGCTCCAGGCTCTGAGCTATCAACACAGAGCCTGATGTGGGGCTCAAACCCAAGAACTGCGAGATCATGACCTGAGCCCAAGTCGGAAGTTTAACCGACTGAGCCACCCAGGTGCCCCAAATATATTTAACTTGCTTACATTGAGTTTAAAAAGCCCTCAAGCCCCTGAAATTGTTAAAGGATTTCTTTCACCTCTTAGTTACTGACATAGTTGAAACAGTGGAACTAAAAGAAAAAGAAAAATTTCAGTAGAAAAACTCGCTTGGCAATAAGAGTTGATTGTTTTCTTTTATATTTTCTCACCCATCCACATCTTTTTCTGGTTTCAAGGCATTAAGAACTTTGTTGCTAAATGAGCTCTCAGAGATCTGAAGGGCAAGGCCATGTACTCTGGTGTCTTCGTTAATCTTCAAGATTTCGTCTATAATCTACAGAGGAAAAAGAAATCCTAAAATCAGTTTTGTGACAATAAGACCCCACAAAAGGAGCTTTATATAAAGAACAGATTCATAAAAATGCATCTGTTATAGTTCCTTTCTCAGGCCTTGTTGAAGACTTGATGTAAAGCCGAATGAATCACATCTAGTTTCTCTTTCTGACCATGTTTACAAAAGCTCAAAAGAAGCATGACTGAATTTTAGTGCCTCTTAATCTCCCTGTTGCACTACTTCCTGCCAGAACAGAACAGAACAGAACAGAACAGTTAACAACATTTAGATACGCAGAAGACAATTCCCTGTCCACAATTACACTTATGCGAAACGCACCACCAACCTTCAGGGAGACCAGGAAGCAGGAGTCTCAAACATTCCAAACTGGCCCAGACAAGCCTGTATTTCAAACCCAATGTGTTTGACAAAAGCTTCCCAACCTTCACACCCAAGGAGCCATCGCTCAGGCCCTCAGGTTCTCTGGACCTGCCTGGCACACAGAGAGCATTTCCAAACCTTATGATCAATGCATTCTAAGCAGACATAGCTCCCTTTTATAGGAAACTCACTATTTATGAAAAAGACCAAAGTATAGTTTGGGAAGGTAATGTAAAAGCTAACGAATGGTTGGGTAGGTCTTTTAATAAGCAACGCCCTGTCCTCTTTGTTTATTTTACCCCAGGAGATAACATGTGGATTCATTTCATTCCACAATATTATTTGTTCCTAAGAAAAAGAGATACCAGCCCATTGGCAGGGGTCTCACTGTGAGAAGTACTGGCTTACCACTTCTGTTTCACTGTCTAGCAAAAAGTCACTGTGCATGTCCACCTGGTAAGAGCTATCTATCTGATCTACAAAAATGAGAAAGAAAATTTTGTTTCATTCATTTACTCTTCTTTTATTCATTCCACAAATGTTGAATGTTTTAAGCACTTACACTGTTATGGTTCTAAGACAGGAATTTCAGTTGTGAACAAAATGCCTGTCCTCATGGAGCATACAGTCCGATGGGGAAGACAAGAGCAAAATCAAAAAACAGTAAAATCTCTGGAAGTGGTAAATGATGCAAAGAAAACTAAAGCAGATAAAGGACTAATGGAGTGATGGCGGGCTGGGGGTGGTCACAGGGAGTGACAACGACAGGCAGCCCAGAATGAAGAGGGTAGTCTATTGTTACCTGTAACTAAGATGTGGTAGAAGCAATGAGAAAATCTTAACTCATAAATTAAGATCCGTACTCTTTTCCAACATAATAATACCACCACCATGCAAATTCACATTTATCAAAATTTTAAAGAAAAATGGGGAGGGGGGGCCTGGGTGGCTCAGTCGGTTAAGTGTCTGACTTCAGCTCGGGTCATGATCTCACAGTTCGTGGGTTCGGGCCCCACATCGGGCTCTGTGCTGACAGCTCAGAGCCTGAAGCCTGTTTCAGATTCTGTGTCTCCCTCTCTCTCTGCCCCTCCCCTGCTCATGCTGTCTCTCTCTCTCTCCCTCAGAAATAAATAAAAACACTAAAAAAAATTTTTTTAAAAAAAGAAGAAAAAAAATGGGGCATATGTGACTCTCTGTCAAAAAATAAGTTAACGAATAAAAAAAAAAATCAACAGCTGTCGCCACCAGTGACAGGCAACCGGAAGAAATACCGACAATGGGTGTCCTGCAAAGGGACAACAAATTTCTCTGCATTTGTTAATGCTGGTGGGACAGGTGTCAGTATTTCTAATACATCAGAATGGCAAGTGGGGCAGAAACCATTTGCCCAGAAACCCTTCTTCCTTAGTAATAAACTCTTGATTTTTAGCTGTTATAATAAATGGTCTAGGACCATCTGGTGTAAAGACTACATTTCCCAGCCTTCCTTGCTTCGTGGCCAAGCAATTAGGTTCAGGTCAATGGCACAGAAGCAGAACTGTGACTTTTAGAAACTGTCCCTGAAGGCAAGAGACTGAGGGCCTCCCTGTCCTTGGTCCTTATCCTTCCTTTTCCTTGCTGGTGACAGTAAGTTGCTGAATTGAGCCTCACGATCTATGAAAACAGGTGACAAAAGTTGCTGAACTGAGCCTCATGATCTGAGAAAACACAGTTAAGAAATATCCCCAACCTCTGCAAGAACCAAATACAGAGACTCCAAATTCCCATTTGTTGTCTCATAAATGATTAGGTGAACTACTTGCCCCCACAGCTAAATCTGAACAAAATGCTTGTTAATGACACTTGACTTGGAGAAATTTCCTTCCTTCCTCCATGTTGCTAGTGGTTGGCCCACCCTTAGCTTGATTAACAGATAACCCCTTCTGAGGAAAGGCTGGCTACCAGGTAAAACATTCTCTGACTCACTATCCCTACTGCAATAATCCTTTGGAGTTATGTCTCTCCTTACTAAGTCTGGATTTATTTGACCCTGACTATAACGTGGATGTGAGATGCAGAGTTGAATCTGCCATCTTGGATACACAGACAATAGAGCAGCAAGATGGAAGGAGCCTAAATTTCTGGTACCCTTGTGATGCATAGCATCCTGCTTCTAAACTTGACTTATGTATGAGAAAAATAAACTTCTGTGTTATTTCACATTCTGTGATTGGAAGTTTTCCATTAGTGGCAGTCAAGACAGTCACAGCCAGGCTGTGACAGCCAGGCTGAAGAAAAGCTAGCCACGGAAGGATCAAACACAAGCATGGCTCATGGTCTAGTTTCCTCACCACTACTTACAGGGGTGGCTGCTTCTTACAGGCTTGAGATGACACTTACAAAAGCTGCTACTCCCAGAACATTCACCTGGAAAGGACTCTGAAGAGGATTTCTTCCTATTCCTTTAGTTTATTGATAAGCCACCTGTGACCCAGGGAAGCCAAGGGAACGGCCAAGGGCGAACAACCAGTCAGGACAGGGAAAAACCTCAACCAGCCCTCCAGACCCTGAGAGACAGACAGTTTCCACTAGACGCTACTGCTGCAGCCAAAGAAACACAACCAAAGTCACCGAGTCATGGACCAAGTCTTCAACAGAAACATATACTAAGGGATGATCGGCCAAGGAACATTTACGCAGAGGGAAAAGTGATCTTCCCTCTCAGTTCTGTCACAAGAAAAGGCCGATCTGTTCTAACCACACTGAGAGATGCCGAAAGGTTCAGGAAGTCTAAAGAAGAAAGCGACCGGAGCGTTCAAGTGCCCGTGGTAGTTACCTCATCTTCACTGCTATCCGGAGGGAGGCAGATGTGAGTGATGTTCAGACCAGCCTGCAAAGGGAACACAAGGTTATTCCGCCGTGGTAAGAGAGTGTGCTGTCAAAAAATGATGATGGATTTGTGGAATTCAACAATCCTCACCTCCTCCGCCAAATTCTGGTTTATCTCCTGCATCAAGTTATCATCACCTGCCTTAGGAGACGAAGCAAGAATGACAATGTGAGGACAACAAAAACATCTTGAAAAAAAGCACAAGACGTAACAATAGACTAATCTTGCGATTATAAATTACCTAATTAATTAGAAAGAGACAGAAATACAGAATCTTACTGCTCACAAAAGGAGACTCAGAGCTGGTATTTATTCATCTATATATTTCACAACTTTCAAATTATGTTACTTTTAAAAAATAATAGCCCTCTTGGGGCGCCTGGGTGGCTCAGTCGGTTAAGCGCCCGACTTCAGCTCAGAGCCTGGATGGAGCCTGCTTCAGATTCCGTGTCTCCCTCTCTCTCTGCCCCTCCCCCGGACACACTCTGTCTCTCTCTCGAAAATAAATAAACATTAACAATAATAGCCCCACTAAGGCACACGTAGCCACATAGCCAGCATCTCTTTCTAGATGAGGACACCAAAGACAGAGGCTTAGAGGACTTGCCCGTGGCTGGAAAGCGATCAGCAAGCACAGGCCCGGGAGCCCCGGGCTCCCGTCCCTTTTCCTTCTACCCTTCTCACTTGCCTGTCTGCAGGGGACGTGGAGGCAGACCCCGCAGCACGCACGTGACTCAAGCATAGCTCCATAGGCTTGAACATCACAGCGCTGATGGTGCTGGAGGCTGCCGTTCGGACACATTTAGCACATTCCAGAAACGACGGCGGGGGCCCAGCTGCTGGGCTGTGTTAGCTCACGGGCTTGGCTGGCCTCAGTATTTCCCTGCACCTGTCACCCACCAGGGGTGCCAAGAAGGACGGCAAACAGCGCCAGCTGCAGTTGGGAATGAAGGGGCCGCAGCCAAAGATGTACATGAGCGCAAGTCCTTCTGGCCTGTACGGAGGCCGGGCCCTGCAAACGTACGGCAGGCGTCACCGGCCCCAGTGATGTCACTGAAGACCGGGCCCCGGCAAGCATCTGTCTTCCGCAGAAACCAAGGGCAACGTTTCCCCCTCATTTTCCAATCGTACCTGATAAGCATTTATGAGCACACACGGACAATACATCCTATATAACACAACTTATGTGGCTGCCTACCTCCGAAGCTCTGAAAGCTACCCACGCCAAGAGGAGAAAGACTCACTAAACACCCACCCAAGCAGAGCGGTAACTAACCAGTAACCCGGCAGAAGCAAAATGACTGACGGAAGAGGGAAAAGACTGTATTTCCAGCGGCGCCCTGTCTTCCCTGCCCAAATGGGACTTTCGTGACCAGAAATGCCCTGACCTTCTCTATACGATTATCTTCTAAATTGAAAGGCAGCCTCAAATAGCAGGACCGAACCACACTCCCGACTTACCTGGATAATAGCGAGCACCGGCTGAAAGGAAGGGTTTTTTTCTTGCAATAAACTCAGAACGTCTTTTGAATTCTGAATGACTTCTCTGCATCGAAAAAGAGAGACAACACGCCATCACGTCTTTGTTAATGGCTGTAAAGGACGGACACAACATTTTCCTAGCAAGTTCGTCAGTGTAAGTGAAAAGAGACACCATAAGGATGCGCGGCGAGGGGGGCCGGGTAACAGTGCTGACGCCTGGCACGCGGTACACTGGGACCGTCTGGGTTTAAAGACACGCAGAGGCGTGCAAACTAAATGTTAGCAATTATTTTCTAGGGGTGAATTTTTCTTTTGTGGTTTCCAAGTTTACCGCAATACAAATTTCGTGTTTCTTTTTTTTTTTAATGTTTATTTTTGAGAGAGAGAGCACGCGCACACAAGCAGGGGAGCCACAGAGACAGAGAAGGAGACACACAGAATCCGAAGCAGGCTCTAGGCTCTGAGCTGTCAACAGAGAGCCCGACTCAAGGCTCGAACCCACGAACTGTGAGATCATGACCTGAGCTGAAGCCGGCTGCTTAACCGACAGAGCCACCCAGGCGTCCCTCGAATTTCTTTTTTAAAAGAATGCCCTTCCTCCACCCATGTCCATCCCCTGGGGTCCCATGGGGACCTCAAACATTGGTGGGGGAGGGTAGCAGAGACTGGGGAAGAGGCTTGCTGTCAGAAAAGTGGTGAGTCAGGATAAAGCCCGGGTCCCAGAATTTCAAGAAATGTGAAGGGAGTGGGTGGGGAAGAAGACAGAGGGTAGGGGAAAGGAGGGATAAGAAACGGGAAGTTAGGGGGAAGGGGAGATGGGAGCAGAAACACCAGGGACTGATCAGAATGATACTCCCAAGGCCTCCTAGGGAGAGAGTCTCAGTCCTCTGGGCTCCCACCATCCAAGTCTGCCTTTGGACTTCCTAGAAGTCCCAGCGGGTGACTCCCAGGCAGAGGGAAAGGGGTGCCAGCCCACGCGGGGCAGACCTAGAAAATGTGGTATAAGTCCGGCACTCGGGCAGTCTCCGGGATGAGCCGTTTCAGATGCCCTTGGCCACCACTCCTGTGAAATGGTCCTCACTTGCATATGAAGTTGGCTTTTTTCCCCCTCTCACCCTAACAGACAAAAGGCTCAGCCAAAGCAGTACCCAAGCTCCCTGTTAAGACCATCTTGAGGCGCCCGGGTGGCTCAGTCGGTTGAGCCTCCTACTCTTGATTTCAATTCAGGTCATGATCTCCCGGTTTGTGGGTTTGAGCCCCACATCGGGCTCTGGGCTAGTGGCACAGAACCTGCTTGGGTTTCTTTCTCTCTGCTTCTCACCTGCTCATGCTCTCTCTCTCAAAAACAAAAACAAAATCTTTAGTTTGTTTTCTGTCTCTGACAGGGTCTTGCACGCACCTAACAGCTTCCAAAAAATGCAAGGTTGAAATTCTAGCCAGATTCCAGCAGCACTGAAGGGCGCAGGCATTGCAAAACGGCATCACTCAGCTTCTCCCAGTTTTCAGAAGAAGCTAAGGTGCGTACTGGCGGGAACTGCTCTCACGACTGCTAATCTGGGGGGCGCTGGGTCCTTATTTCTGCCGAAAGGCCCGGGAGCAGGGGTCCCGAGTGGTTTGCGGTAGTGTGTGTGAGGATGATCTGGGGAGCTTGGTAAAAAGAAAGGTTTCTGTATTTCACCCCGGAAAGTCGGATTCTAAAAGGGCTGGGTGAGGCCCAGGAACGTGCATTTTCAACAAGGGACCTGGGTGGCTCTGAGGTTGTTAGAGGGGAAGCAGCCACGCATCGGGATGCAGGCCTCCAGGGACCCATCGCGGAGTTTCCTGTGTCCCTGACGAACTCCAGTAACCTTATCTGTGAAACAGGCGTCGTATGTAGAGACCTTTGTTCTCGTAACCATACAGTCTCTTTCTGTTGACTCAAAGCTACCCCTGAGCACTAAAAACACACATTCCAACAGCAATAGTTTTCCCAGTGCATAGCCTTCGCCATCCCTCAGTACGTGAAGGGACCAAACACCTCTGTAGTAGCTCAGACCTGTCCCTACCTAAGCGAATACAGCTAAATCTCCCCACATCTCGTTATAGGTGTAACGTTTCATTCTTTGGGGTTACTCCTTATTCATACAATGACAAGCAAAGTTAATATGAAAGGAATCACCTCAATAGACTCAATAGGCTCAATAAAACCTAAAAACTAGCATAAATGTTTCTGATCAGAGATCTTCTCACTCCTGCGAGAAAAGCTGTCTTTGTCAACCTGTTTGGCTTCCGGCTAGAAGGAGTGTGTGACTGTGCAGCCCAGCCGCCCGGCCCATGTGTACCTGAAATTCAGAACTTTATGAAGAAGGATGTAATCATCTGTAATAATGTAAATAGGTAAAGTATCCACTACTGAAAGGACTTCAATTTCCTCCATTTTGACCTTCAACTTTCTAATTGATTAAATTCTTCATTCCAGCTTATCTCTTAACTCAGACAAAAGCATCCCTTGAAGGGATTCGAAACTACCCCCTTAAGCAATAAGGACTGCCCTGAGCCAGGAAGACCTCACCCAGTGACTGATCCCCAGACAATGACCTGATCTTCACTGCCCGCCTTGCCTGCAGCAACCCCCATTTTTCTTCTATAAAACTAGAAGCGTTGTCAGTGTCTTCAGACTTGGAGACAGGCTTGGAGGTACTAGTGTGCTGGCCTCACTGAAATAAATTCCTTTCTTGTTCCATCACCACTTGGCTCAAGGCCTTTGTATTTTGTTAGAGGTGAGAGGCCAAACCTGTTGTTTGGGACCCTCGGAGCCACGTGCTCTTGCACCCGGATGCTCCCCTTACCCCACCGTGACCGCACCATGTGTTCACTGGGCATGAGGGTGCCGGAATAATGACGCCATTTCTCAGCCTCCCTTGCAGCTCGCTGTGGCCACACCAGTCTCCGAGGCAGCAGCTACTAACGCTATTGAAAACGACCAATTTCAGTACATCCCTGAATGCAGAGTCAATTTATCGATTTTAAAGGCAAAAGAGGTACTAGTGTACAAATAAGAGTTAAAAATTTCCCAAAAAGCAGTCAGTATTCTGAGAAGCAGCTCAGGCTGAAAGCACCACTGAGCAGCTTAATCGACCCATGCCCTGGTAATGTCGCAGATACACTCACTATAATAGTAACAGCAGTATTGCTACAACTGACGATGGATTCCTGGGTACTTCCTATGCATACTTCCTCCCATTTTCCTTTTTAACAGAACTCTTGAGTGAGAGCCGCGAGTGGCCAGCCCGCTAGAGGGCGCACTTCCCAGTTTTGCCTGCAGCGTGGTGGGTCCTGTCTCTCTGAGGGCCAACAAGCTGGGAGCACTGGCCAGAAGGAGGCGAGAAAAGTGCACCTAAGAGAAGGTACACAGGCAACCTGGCCCCCTTTCCCTCTTGCTGGCTGGGAGACTGGAGCAGCCGCCTTCCACCCAGAGCTGGAGCAGTGAGCAGATATCCTCTGGTTGGCTCCCCTCTGAACACTGAGGTCACAGCATTTTGGGATGATATCTTAAGTAAAGCAGGCTAAATGGCTTGTCTCCTCTGGGTGCACAGGCCTGATGTGGGAGCTTTCATCTTATTTGCTGTGTTAATCCAATTTAAGACAGAGAATGAAAGACATCCCAGTGTTTTAGAAACCACTAAAAGAAAAAAAAAACTGCCAGCTAAACTAGGGTACAATCTTTTGTTAACTGTTGATTTAGTAAATAGTAAAAGAACTTTTAAGACTCATTTAGACGTAGACGTAGATGTTTTATTTGCCATAACCCACTCATATGAGCATAAAAAGTAAAACTAGCAAACACACCGAAATATTCCTAAAACTGCGCATTCAGGATCTGACTCTTCTTGAGTGACTTTTTTTGATTCAAGAGTCCCTGGTGGCAATTTCTGCTTTGCTTTCCCCCCCCCCCCACTGTGCTGTCAAGGGTGTAGGTGATGTAGCATTTTGTGAAAAACCATAGCATTTTTGCCCCTGAGATTTTCCCTACTAAACTCTTGCCACCCATTCTGCAAGTTTTAATGCTAGGGCTTTCTTGATTCCACGAGATGTCAATAGCTGTCAGACAACAACCAGAAATCATTTTATTTCCTAAAATAGCCCTTCCATGACTTGTTCATGGAAATACTGGGGATTATGGGAAAATAACAGGTCACTATGCTTTTGAGGGAGCTTATTCCTCCCAATTTTTCTGGTATATGTCCATGAAGTAAATTAGAAAATAACATACACAGACAGATTCCCAGAAGTCTATTCTAGGTGACTTCTAGCTAGGCCCACCTCCCCACTTTCTTCCAAGCCCTCAGGGGAATTTCTTGGAGGGAAGTTTTGTTAGAAGATGCATGCAGGTCGGGGCGCCTGAGTGGCTCAGTCGGTTAAGCATCCGACTTCGGCTCAGGTCATGATCTCACGGTTTGTGGGTTCGGGCCCCACGTCAGGCTCTGTGCTGACAGCTAGCTCAGAGTCTGTTTCTGATTCTGTGTCTCCCTCTCTCTCTGACCCTCCCCTTCTCATGCTGTCTCTCTCTCTCAGAAATAAATAAGACATAAAAAAAAAAAAAAAAAAGAAGATGCACGCAGGTCAACTAAGTTACAACAATATGCACGGCCCAAATTCCCACAGGTATGGGCAATGACAAATGTGCACTGACTGTCACCTGGCCAACAGCGATTGTGAGACACAGTCCTCTGAAAAGACCTGTTTTGGAGATATTAAAAATACATCTCTTAGGATCAGCGGAGTGTAGTGAGGTCCACACGACTTCTGAAGCAGGTGATAATGGATTTCATCTTGTATATGAACAGACACCAAAGAGCTTGTCCCAATTCCCACAGCGAATAAGGACTGGATTCCTATTGTAAAGCAAGGCACCTGTCCCTTAACCGCAATCCTATGAAGCAGTAATTTGTCGTACGACACTTCCTTTTCTTAGTTCAGAAGAGGAGCCAGAAAACTATGGCCCCACAGGTTAAGAACAGCTTTTGCATTTTTAAATGGTTGGAAGAATCAAAATAATAATATTTTATAGCATGTGACGATTACATGAAATTCCAACGTCAGTACCCACAAATTAAATTTTGAATGTTGTCCAAAAAAGTTAAGAAAATGTGCTTTTTCTCACATAAAAGGACCTACATACTAGCTTCTACTTTACCTCTTGGCCTGCAAAACCTAAAATATTTACGATCTATCTAGTCCTTGACAGAATTGCCAACCCCTGGCTTAGCCTGCTAGAAAAATAAAAAATCCTATCAGCCCATATCTGCGGGAGGTCTTGATAACGATAATTCCTAGACTCTGCATGCTGTTTGTGTTCTCTCACATAATCCCTTCTGTAACCGTTTGAGGCAGACTACCCTTCTTCCCACTGTGGTCCCCTCCCAGGATACGGACCCAGGGCACCCACTGAGCACTCTGCTCATCTCTAAGTCAGCCCATGAAACAAACAATCATGAACGGAATCCGGCAATGAACCCAAATCTTCAGTGATTCACTCACCCACCGTGTCACAAGTGGCCAACCCTATAAATGGCACTCTTTCCTGGAGGATCTGGCAGTGTGAACAAGAGACAAGGTTCCGCAGAGCCTCGATTCCAGGTAGGGAAGACAGACCATAAATGAACAAGAAAGTTTCAGGAAGCAAATAGGAGTCACCCAGAAAATAAGAGGGGTGGTGGGGTGATGGTTCTTGCCCCCCATACTGTCGTCAGACCCTAAGGCACAAAGGGGAGCTCAGCTGTACACTGGTCACATTTTAAGGAACTGAAGAAGCCTAAAGGAACTCTGATATTCAGACAGAAGACAAGATAAAAAGCTCCTGGCATCGGCCACATCATAAAGGGCTTTGGGAACAGAGCCCGTAAAGGCAATTACTTTGGGGGGGGGGGGG